TAGAAACCTGAGCTGGTGTGCGCCCATGGCTCTGTCCTAAAGCCGGACCCCGGCCACATCCAGTCAGTCACGCACCATTGTTTATCGAGGAGAGCCTGTCCTGTGTTAGATGCTGGGCTTCTAACAAGCAGCTTCCAACCAGATGATCTCTCGACCGTCAAGGAGCTTATCTTCGAGACTTAAGTGTTCCAGGATTGGCCTGGTAGCGAGCAGGATGGAATCAGTGAGGGAGGGAGGGAACCTAGCCCATTGCCCTGAATGTGCGGCTCAGAAGAGCTTTATTCTCACTTAGTTCAGCATCTCCCTTAGTCCATACCACCCTGTGAGTTGTGCTATTTGTTCCCATTGTTCAGATATTCAGTCTGAAGCAATTCTGTTCTAATGCAGTTAAATTTAATGGCATTTGAAAATTTGGGGTTTGCCAGGGTGTCTCAGTATTTCCCTGGCACATGTCCAGGTCTGCTGTGGTTCAGTAGGGCTGGTAGGTCCATGTACATGTGTGAGTTGGTGAAACAGCTATATAAATGTCTTAAGTGAAGTTGGACATGGACGTCAGTAATTATGACTGTGATCTGACAGAACTGAAAGCAGTTTGCGTGCTTTTAAATTGGGAAACACGCCAGTGTAAACATCCTGACGGTTTCTGAGAAGAGATATCAGCCATGATGTAAAACTCATTTGCATTCATTCAGTGGTACTTGTATCACTGTTTATTAGACATTGTCTTGAATATATAATTTTATGGCTACTCTTGTGAGAAAGCTAACTCTTCTTTTATGTTGGCCTCTGATCTGAAGTATAACCAAAGTGTATCTAGGGTTGGTGACACTCTGATGTGTCCACGTTCTGACAGCAACTGGGCAGGTGGACTCAGTGTTGAGAGCTTCTACCTGCCTGGTATGTCAGAGCTACAGCGCCCCCATCCAGTAGGTCTGGGACGAGGCCTTGGAATGTGTATTTTAAGAAGCTTCTTGGAAGCAGCCTAAGTGTCCATCATCGGATGAATGGATAAAGAAGATATGGCACATATATACAATGGAATATTACTCAGCCATAAAAAGAAACGAAATTGAGTTATTTGTAGTGAGGTGGATGGACCTAGAGACTGTCATACAGAGTGAAGTAAGTCAGAAAGAGGAAAACAAATATCATATGCTAACACATATATATGGAATCTAAGAAGAAAAAAACGGTCATGAAGAACCTAGGGGTAAGACGGGAATAAAGACACAGACCTACTAGAGAATGGACTAGAGGATATGGGGAGGGAGAATGGTAAACTGTGACAAAGCGAGAGAGTGGCATGGACATATATACACTACCAAACGTAAAATAGATAGCTAGTGGGAAGCAGTCGCATGGCACAGGGAGATCAGCTCAGCTCAGTGCTTTGTGACCACCTAGAGGGGTGGGATAGAGAGGGTGGGAGGTAGGGAGACGTAAGAGGGAAGAGATATGGGAACGTATGTATAACTGACTCACTTTGTTATAAAGCAGAAATTAACACACCATTGTAAAGCAATTATACTCCAATAAAGATGTTTGAAAAAAATAATAAATCTTAATGTATACCAATTTTAAAAAATCATTTAGGAGTTTGGGGGAATCCCAGAATGGAATGCAGAAACTGAGAAAAGAATTTAAATGTATTACAAATCCCAGTTGTGGGACATTCTGCAGAATGTCTGACCAATAATCTGCAAAACTGTCAAGGTCATTGAAAACAAGAGTCTGAGAGACTCTGCAAACCAAGAGAAGCCTAAGGAGACACGACCATTAAATGTGATGTGGTATCACTGATGAGATCCTAGAACAGGAAAAGGAAATTAGAATACAGTTAAGAAAAATAAAAGACCAACCAAGAACTGGGAGAAAATATGTGCAATACACATTTCTGATAAAGAACTTCTATCTAAAATTACACAAATAACTCTTAAAACTCAACAGCAACAAACAAGAACTAAATTTAAAAACTGGGCAGGGGTACATTAAAACTCTGCTATATTTGCAATAACTCTATAAATCTAAAACTGTTCTAAAATAAAAGTTTATTTTTAAAGAAAAAGCTTCTTAAGTGATGATAATGCACAACTAGAATTTAGAATAGCTAGGTATTTGAAAAATGATTCGGGTCCCCCTATGTATTTTTTTTTGGTATGGTTATTGTCTTGTTGTTAATTTCATTGCTTTTGGGGATGAATATCTTCTTGTATCTTTGATATTGATGAGAATGGATCTGCAGCCTTATCACTTTTATATTTCTGTCTTACGAGTGATTGAGAAAGAAAGTACAATTTCTAATGTGCTAAGTGTTCTTTAGATATTTGTTAGGTTAAGCTTGTTAATGTCATTAGTGTGAAAATATACATAGAAGGTCTGATTCTTAACCTTGCTCCTCTGCACTCCTATGGTGTTAGTTTCTTATGTTTCCTTCCAGTATTTCTTGATGCGAAAACAAGCAAGGTACTTATCTTTTTCCATCTTTCTTACACAAGAGTTAGCATATGATATACACTTGCACCTTGCTTTTTATACTTTTTAAAAACAGTGTATCTTGCAGAGCTTTCCATTTTCTTACAAGGCATAGTATTTCATTATGTGGATGTACTATCTAGTTTGATGAGTCACTTCCCTATGGATGAATGCTTAGCTTGTTTCTAGTCTCTTACACACTGCTATGGTGAACAATCCATATACTGGTGTGTGCACATGTGTGCATGTCCTGGTCTGGACTGAACTCTTTCAAGGAGTAGACTCTGTGTTACTGATCTTTATGCCGTCATGCCTGGCACGGTGTTTGGTGCATAGAGATTTAGTTGGGTGGATGGGGGGGTGTTCAGTTGGTTGATATTAGGAAGGTCAGTGTGACCACTCTTGTCTGATGGGTTGCCTAAAAGCAGAATTTCTCAGGATGTCTTGTTCCTGAGGTGTAACATGAAAAACATATTACAGGTTTGAAATCCTTATCTTGATAGTTTTATGCCTGATTACAGCTGGCTTATTTTTCTTTAAACTAGAGGATGGCTTCAGAACTACAGAACAAATTCTGCCAGCTATCAGTCCTAACAGTGGTGTTTTTTGTTTTTTTTTTTTACAATGTGGCATATTTTTAGTTTATAGAGCTAATAAATATTCTGATGCTAACAGGTGGGAAAGTTTTTTTTTCTTTCTTTTAATAAGGAGATAGTTTTACTGGTTGTAAAATTTCAAGTCGAAAGGGTTTGAATTTTAGAAAGTACTCATTTTGTTAAAATAACATACAGTATATCAGACATCTGAGTAATCGCTGAAAATGCAAAGCTGAAATCATACCAAGGAGTTGATTGATGGCTGACATTATTTTACGTAGTCAGAGAAGGTACGAGTGGGCACCAAACTGAAGTGAGGATACAAGTCAAGTGGCAAGAAGGAATTGCAGGGTTTCTCCTGGGGATTGTAGAAACCAGGAAACTTAGCCAATGGTATATGGTAGAAACTTCCTGTAGTAGTTCTTTGCCTCTTATTAGAGTTTCTAGTTTGCAGCCAGTCCTACGAAGATGTTTCATCTTTCTTAAACTTTTCCTTTAACATAGATGAGAAACAGTGCTAGATATTAGTAATGCTGGCTTAGCAGTCCAGTTCCTTTTCAATTTTACACATGCATGGCTGATCAAGACACGATTGCTACATATTTACAGAAAAAACTCCCAACAACAAAACGGTACGGTTAAATAAATGTCTCAGTGAGAAAAATCAAAAGGAGCAAAGATAAAAGTTTCAACGAAACATTTATCTAGTAAAATGTCACATAACATCTCCGTGATCAAATGTGTTGACTTTAATCTCCTGGCAGGATTTCACAGATTCTCCAGCTCCTTTACATCAGTGCTCTGCCACTTTATACCAAGGTGCAGACTCTGTCTGACTTGGGTCAGAGGTGTCCTTTCCCTGAGGCTGGAACCTATCACTTTGGCCATCGCTACTCTCAGAGTAGGAGAAGATGGCTTTTCTTTTAAAGGTTGATTTCTTCATATCCCTTTCATGTGCCATCAAGCTCTATCATGCAGAGAAAACAGTTATTACATTGAAATGAAAGACAGCTGAGCATTTTCTTATGTCTTTCGTGTGTTTAAAAAAACAAGCCTTTGCAGAAACCTCTCAGGGCTCAGGGATGGTGCTGAGAACTGCTGGCCTCTTCATGAAAGATCATTGAAGTTACCCTTGAGAGCATTCCAGTCATGCTACTTGGGCGGAACCATTTTGTGAGATTTTCCTTTCCCTGCTTGGGTTTTTTTTTTTTTTTTTTTCTTGCGTTATGCGGGCCTCTCACTGTTGTGGCCTCTCCCATTTGCGGAGCACAGGCTCCGGACGCGCAGGCTCAGTGGCCATGGCTCACGGGCCCAGCCGCTCCGCGGCATGTGGGATCTTCCCGAAACGGGGCACGAACCCGCGTCTCCTGCATCGGCAGGCGGACTCTCAAGCACTGCGCCACCAGGGAAGCCCCCTGCTTGGGTTTTTGACATAAAATTCTCATGTGATTGGAGGCGGAAGTCTACGTGTATGTCTTCGTCGGGCTTTCTTTTCAGGGTCTCTCCTCCGCCTTTACGGGTGGGCTCCCCTTTGGCGCTGTGCCTGCACCACTTAGACAGGCGGCCCCTTCTCAGATGGGGCCTGGAGGAAACTGTCTTTTGAAAGAAGTGATATGATTTTTTTTTTTTTTTTGCGGTACGTGGGCCTCTCACTGTTGTGGCCTCTCCCGTTGCGGAGCACAGGCTCCGGACGCGCAGGCTCAGCGGCCATGGCTCACGGGCCCAGCCGCTCCGCGGCATGTGGGATCTTCCCGGACCAGGGCACGAACCCGTGTCCCCTGCATCGGCAGGCGGACTCTCAACCACTGCTCCACCAGGGAGGCCCGATATGATTTTTAAGATGACCTTTTGGGTAGAATAAGATGATCTTTCTGATAAGCCAGATTACAGACTTTGTTTTATTTTATACTTATTGATCTTTCTGTACTGCAGGGCAAGGTGTGGCTGATTGATTTTAATCCATTTGGTGAAGTCACAGATGCGCTGCTGTTTACTTGGGACGAACTGTTATCTGGAAGAAACTTAAAGGGTGATTTTAGTGAAGAAGCCCTGGAGCAGGTAAGATGATCAGAAAGATCCCCCGGAAACCCTGTCAGTCCACTAGGAATTCTTGCTGGTTCTCCAGGCGCTGACACAGATTTACTCGTAGATACTTTGCTGAGTTCTTTGTTTCGTACTCTCTCGTGAATGTTTTCTGTCTTTCACGAAATAGTTGTATTAGAGAAAGGGTGTGCACTTTGATTTCTTCACTTCACTTTGTCTAAAGTGAAGATGATCATCTGATAGTTTCTTTTCTGGTTATTTTTCTTTTTCTCGGCTCTTCTGTCCTGCCCACCTGAGAATCCGGACTATGGGTCAGGTCACTCATCTGTTTATTCTGGTCCCAGCCCCAGGCTGCCACGCACGGTTAGAGGGATGTCGCCCAGATGCGCAGACGGGGTGGGGAGGGGGCTTGTCCCAGTCACCACCTCTGGCTTCCTGTGGGCTCTGACCGCAGGCTCTGTCGCCCTCGCCAATGTCCCCTCCTGCTGTCCACGGTGGCCGTTCCACCCACTCCATGCTCCTCTGAGCTTCCGTCCATCACTCCTGTCCTCCTCAGCAGCTGCTTTCCCTCTTAGGAAAAGAGAATCCATCGGTGAGAACTCACTCCATTTAACTGTCGTCAAACCTACAGACTGACCTGCATCCTTCCTCCCGAGTCTCATCTCTGCCCCTGCGTCTCTCCAGGTTCCTGGGGCTACCATCTGTCTTGTTTCCTTTTTCCAGTCTCTTCCTTTCTCTGTAAGCAGATAACTGTTCTGACGCCTCCTGTCACAGAAAGCAAGACTTCCCTCAGCCCCGTAATGCCTGCTCATTTTTAAAGGAAATTCTAAAGTCACCCATAATCCTACCTCATTGAGAACCACTGTTAATATTCTGGTGTGTAACCTGCCTGCACACATACACACGAGGCTTTCTAAAGTAAATGAGAGTGTGCTCTGCATCTGCAGTTCTGTCCACGGGGCTCTTCATTTTGTACTCTCTCGTGAGTGTTTTCTGTCTTTTACAAAATAGTTTTATTTTCGCACGGTTGTTTAAAAACAGAGAATTAGAAAGAGGCGAGACTTGAAATCCTACTACCTAGAAATGGACATTCTTACCACCTCTGTTAAGGTTTTCTGGGCATTTTTTGTGTATATACACATGCGCGTGCACACATTATTTTGGCAGTGGGGTCCTGCGAGTTCCTCTCCTTCTGTCGGGCCACTTGCTAGTCCTGTGGCCACTGCTCCCCACCTCCCTTGCTGCCGGGCCTCCCCTGGCTCCCCCCCCCGTTTCCCTCCCTGCCTCCGGTTCCGAAGAAACTGCTTGTGGTGAGGGCTCCACCAACGTGTCAGGAATTCCAGCGAGCAGTGCACGGTCCTGCTCTTCCTTAACGCTGGGCCGCGTCTGAGCTGTTACCTCTTGTTCCTGTCACACCCTTTCCCCTGGTTTCCGTGACGCCTGCTCGCCTCCTGGCTTTCTTCCTGCTTCTCCGGCTGCTACCTTGCCCTCCGTGGTAACATCTTTCCTTCTGTCTGTCTCTGAAATAGTCCTTTTCATCCTTACTCTGTCCCGGGCCGTCCTGGGCCTTGTTTTTCTAGATCTGACTGTGGTCCCTGTTCTCCACATCAAGGCACTTGCCCTGCTGTGTGGGCCTTGCCTACAGATTTGCCTGCCTCCTGCCTCGGGCTGTAGGTTTCCGAGCCCATTGATGGGGTGTCTGTTCTCCATGTGTCTGTGGGGCTGCACACAGTGCCAGGCACAGCGTTGATCGAATTAGTGAATGAAGGGATCTTATTCCTGCT